CCCACAACCCGGCTGCTGCTCCAGCGCGTGCCCCTGCCCCAGGTGCCAGGGGAGTACAGCACAGAGGTGTCTGGCGAAGGATGCGTCTACCTGCAGGTGAGGGTGATGGGGCCAGGACGCATCCTGGGAGGAGAGCCCCTGGCCAGGTGGGAGCCAGGGAGAGGGCAGAAGGGACAGGGGAGAGGGGAGGAGTGGGAGGGAAGGCTCTGGGAGCGGGAAGAGGAGAAGCAGAGTAGAGGTGTGTGGAGGAGAAAGAGTGGGAGGGAAGGAGGGAAGGATCCGCAACGTGGACGAGCTGAGAGAATGGGAGTGGTGGGGAGGCAGGACGGGGACAGGATGGTCTCTCTCACGTGCTCAGCACACACGCACCCGTGCTCACACAGAACTGCTGGCTCTCCCCTAGACAAGCCTGAGGTACAACGTGCAGCCCACGCAGGAGGATGCACCCTTCATGCTCCATGTCTACACGATCCCAGAGACATGTGAGGACTCCAAGGCTCACAAGGTCTTTGACGTAGGCGTAAATGTCAGGTGAGCCTGCGTTTGGGTCTGAGCCTTCCTGAGAAGCCACGGGAGCTGGAGGAGGTCTGGCGGTCCAGGGTGAGCCAGTCTGGAAGCCCTGGAGGGGCAGGGCATGCCTGGAAAAGTGGGTAGGAAGCAGCTGCGCTGGGATGAGAGGCTGTGGAGGAAGGACATGCCCTGCAGTGGTGGAGCCATGTGGGCAGCCCAGGGCTGGGCTAGCGAGAAGCTGCATAGGTGACTGGGAGGCCCTGGCATAGCTGGAGAAGAAAGTGCTGTACTGCCAGTACGTGGTGGGGTGCCAAGTGTTATGTAATGGGGTGGAGTTGCCGTGCCCCTTGACTTGAGGTGCGCTGAATCCTTGTTGTTTGGTTCCTTAGTTACACTGGGGAGCGCAATGGCTCCAACATGGTGATTGTTGATGTGAAGATGCTGTCAGGATTCATCCCCGTGAAGTCCTCCGTGAGGAAGGTAGGATGCTGTATGACGGATTTCTTTGTGTATATCTGTCCTTAACCAGGGGCATCAATTTCCTTATTTAAAGGAGCACCTAATTCTTCCCCTGGTATCTTCTCCACTGTTAGACCTGTCCTTCTTTTCCTCCAGTTCTTCCGCCCCTCAGCTGTGGAGGAGGGTTGAATGAGGGATGCCAGTAGCAGCGCTCCCTTCTCACACCTCAAGCACTTGTGGTAGTTTGCAGTAGCTCAAATATATGCACAGTTTGGCCCTGAGACTGACAGCTGGGAGGAGACCATCCCGTCTAATTTCAGTGACTTGGGAGCCTTGGAAGATGTACGAAAGCTGTGACAATACCAGTCCCTCATTCCATTTTTGTGTCAAGGAGGTGCAAGAGCGTGAAATGGTGGGAACTGGGGGAAGCCTTACTGTGCAGGGCTTCACACAAGAGTGTTTGCCGAGTCCCTTGGGAAGTACTCTCCCTGTGCTTTACTTCTCAGCATCCACCTGCTGAGGTTCTAGGGGTGGAAGGAGGCTTAGATGAGTTGAAGGATGGTTGACAAACTTCCCTTCAGATCAGCAACCTCTTCCATGTCTCCTCTTTCCAGCTCTCAAGCGCCTGGTTTCACCAGATCCAACGGACAGAAGTGAGCACAAACCATGTTCTGCTGTACATAGAGCAGGTGAGGACTAATCCAGGGCTGCCGTGGGGTACGCAGTGAGCCCTGCAGCACACTGGCAACAGCATGCACAGAGATGGAGAGCAATGCTAAGCATCTCCAGGCTTGTAAACACGAAACATAAACCTGTCTGCCATTGACTTTGTCTCTGTCTCACGGGAGACACCTCTGTCCCAGCCCCCAGCAGGGTTTCCCTGCGCCCCACTCCCAGATCGGGCCCCGGCCTCCCCACCAGCCAGAGCCCCCCCCAGCGT